GTGTATGAAATAACCGGCTGTGCTTGGAGGAGGCTGTTTTACGTGGTGGTTCTGAACAGCATTTGCTGGAATGTTATTTTAGTATAGTGAAGAACAGGAGTCTGTCTCAGAACAGGATTCTCTGTATCCAGTGCTGTACAAACAGAACACGAGACACTCCCTGACTGAAGTAGCTTAGTCCAGATTGCTCAGTTCCGGTTATTGTACCAAATGAATGCGCAAAATAGTAAGGAAGGAATTGCAAAGTTTTTTTTATGACAGTCTAGCTGCATTGGTCAGATCCTGCCTTCATCCTAATAAATGAAGAAAACCTACATAACTGCCAAATATCACCAGTCTACCCTCTCTCTGGAGCCTTTAGGCAGAAAAAAAAGAACACAGCCCAGTGAGTAGGAGATAATTCTTTTGGGTTTAGAGGCAAGAGGCAAGACTTACAGTTCTTTGAACAGTCTTCCCTACCTTGATCATCTGAAAGTCTGTACAACTAATGCCTCTTTTGTTTTGTTTTGCTCCCTTCCAGTGTCACACGCTCTGACTACCTGAACACCTTTGAGTTCATGGACAAGCTCGCTGAAAACTTGAAGCAGAAGCTGGCCTCTCTGCCCAAACCTTAAGGCAGGGGTTCTACTCAAGTTCCCCTAGCAAGGTGTCTCCCACTTACATCAGAGTGTAAGTGGCACCATATCATGCTTTGTTGTGCTCCTTTTAGGATGTTCTTCATCTTTGGCCTCTGGTATCTTCACACTCTTTGGCAGATAGTCCTCATGAAAATCAACTCTTTGCCTAATCACTCTAGTTTTTCTGTTGGTTTTCGGTCTGATGCTCTTTCTGCTCACACTTGAGTCCCCTTGCAAAGCACAGGCATTTGAGGTCTCTTTCCTGAAGACAAATGAATTCTGGGGACTTGGAACCACCTGAGGGAACTTCATGACTTGAAAAGGTATGAACTGGGCTTTTTAATAAGCTCTCCATACTTTGGATCTCTTAACCTGTTGCATTGAGTCACCACATTCAAGACTGGGCAGCTGTGCTGGATTCACCACGTATGTACTTTCAAGATCTTGGATTCCCTCAGGAGAGTGGGAATGGTGCTCCACACTACAGTCTCTATTCGTGCTGTCAAAAGCCCCCACACAAGCCTTTTGTCCCACCTCACAAACTTCAGACTCAGTAGAACAACACATTGCAACTTTTGGCTGAAGAAGCTTCTTTGCATTTTGAGCACGCTCTTCACCTTGAGATATATCAGGACTACTTTCTGCACTGGTTTTAATTGCACTTGTTTTCTTTTTTCCTGTGCTTGACTTTTTAACAGTCATTTTCTCACCAGTTCTAGTTTTTCTAAACAGGCTCCCTCAGGGGTATAAAAACATTCACCCACAATTGCTCACGATGTACTTGCTGAATTTTTACAGAAAGTCTCCCTCCCCCCAGATATGAAACTATGCCAATATACAGATGATATTCCAGTTGGAGGAGATTCCTATGAAAAGGTAGGAAAAGCAGCAGCAGCGTGGGAAGCATTACATGAAGCAGAAATTGAAATTCCACCTGAAAAATGTCAAGGACCAAGTAAAGAAGTAAAATTTTTGAGTACTTGGTGGATAGCAGTCAGTGCAGCAGTTCCTCCAGACACTTTAAAGGAAATAAAACTAATACAGATGCCCCTATCAAAGAAAGAATTACAACAGTTAATGGGAGCTTTAGGATATTGGAGAAAACATATACCTGGATTTTCTATCATTGCTTGCATATGTGGCACTTTATCATGCTTTGTTGTGTAACATTTCAAACACTAGACAAAAATGAACCTAACACTTCTTAAATTTTTAGAAGATCATGTTTTCTTAAACCCCTTGAGCTGCTGTGCTAGGCCCTACTTTTGCTAAGCAGATGAATGTGATGCTGTTCAAGCTGAATGTGGGTCTGGATTCCTAATTTTGTTCACAGCACACCGGAGGTTTCTCTCTGTGAATTTGATCTGTGTTTCTTTTATCTCTTTGTCTCAGTGTGAAAGCCAGTCTGTGTCACAGCTCTGGTCAAACCAGTGGTGATCTACTGTCCAACTGACTTTAGAAATCAGAACCGTCCTCTCTCCAGTACTGTCCATGAGTATAAGTGAGTTCACAGGGCTATGCCAGCTCTGCTGCAGCCCCTCTCAGTTTATCTTTCTGTGCCAACAGGAGCAGAGTATCCTGACACTAAGGGATTTGGTTCCATTGCTGTGGTCAGGACTGTAGCATTCAAGAAGCACTTAGTAAATGCTGGAAACAAGCCTTACAGGCTAAGAGCCTATTAAAGTCATGCTGCAGTGTCTAAATGCAGGCCATGCATTTAGTTATGCTCCTTCTGACTGGATGCAAAGCATAGGAACTGTTACCTCTTCTCCCATCCCACCATTCATAAAGGTGCAAGACTTCCTTCTAATTGTCTGGGCTATTACTTACCCTTTCTGTTGTGATACAGCATCAGATCATGACTGTGAAAAATTATTCCATCCACGGTTTTGTGTTGGGGGTTTTTTAAGGAATATTTTTAGTTCAGACTAAAATAAAAACCAACTAACATTCGTTGTGTCTCTCCTTCCTTTGTGTGATTAGCAGATATGGGGAAATTCTGCCTCAGAGAGACAGTCCAGTAGCTTTCGGTACAATCCAGTATGGGCTGGGACAGACTGTTGGAATGTGGTATAAACACAAAATAATATCTTCCATCTTAGAATAGAGTTTTAATTTGTTCAGTCCCAGGTAAAGCTGTGACCTGTAGTGTGCTAAGCATCAGGTAGTGTACAAGAATTTAAAAGGTACCACTTCCATTGAAATTTTATTCTGGGACTAATAGAAACTCATAATCACCACTCAGCAAAAGAGAAGCTGGTTAGACATGAACTAACTCTGCCTCTGCAGCTGACTAGATAAAGGCAGTGATTAGGACAGAAATGCCAGTGTTTAGACTAAATGAGCAAAACACATCAGGCATGTGTTTGAAGCACAGCTCTGTAACTGCTAGCAACTGTCACTATACCTTCAATAGGAATGAACACAGTCTACTATTCTGTTATTAATATAAGCACATAAGATATTTAGCTGGAAAAAGCCCCATTTCTGATCCCTAGATGCAATGAAAACGATTACTGGGAACAGGTGAAGATCCGTGTTCCTGCCTGGCTTCTGACATCAGTAGTTCAACACAACAAATTGCCTGTTATTTATTGTTCCTACCTGTCTTCCAGAGTTACAAAGCATCAGAGAAAGGTTGGTACCTTCAAGGAAGCTGAACAAATAAGTAAGAGGGCGTTTTTAGATCTTACACTTTTTCTTTGCTAGTTTTAATGACTTACTAGTATTGCTTACACGTAAGCAATGTGATAGCATTTACCCAACTGCAGATGACACTTTTTTCCCTTTATACTAACAAAGTTTCCATCTTCTGGAGGACTCCGCAGAGTACAGCAAGACCCAGGCTATCCTCGTGAACTGATGGATGTTGCTGAAGTGCTAAGTAAGTGTGGTCAGAAGAACAGAGCATCCCTCTCCCTGCTCTGCCACAAAGAAAGAAGAGATGATTTTCCTGCTTTCAAGGAGGCACATTTCCTTCCCTTTAACAACCACTATGTTCCTTTCTTTTCCCCACCACTCCCTCAAACATTTATTATCAATAACCTTCAAAGTTAGATAGCAGTGGACCCTAAAAAAGCAAGTGCTGGAGGCCAATGGGTGCTCAGTCTGCAATGGAAGAGAGTACAAGATTTCCTGAAACCCCGTTGACCCCATCTGGAGTACTGTGTCCAGCTCTGGGGTTCCCAACTTAAGAGGGCCATGAACCCGTTGGAGCAAGTTCAGAGAAGAGACACAAGCATGATCAGAGGGCTGGAGTACCTCTCCTATGAAGACAGGCTGAGAGAGCTGGAGCTGTTCAGACAAAGAGAAGAAAGAGGAAAAAGAGAGAAAAGTGGGAGGTTGTTGTGGAAGAGATGGGGGCCCAATCCACTTCCTTTTATAGTTTACTTGGTACAACATCTCTTATGTAAACTAGATTTTCTGTGCTTTTTTGTTCATGCAAAACCAGCCCTTCAGGAACTGAGCTGGGGGGTAGGGACTGAGCCCAAGTCTCAAGGAGGAGCAGGGAGTTGGCTCAGGACAGCGCTGCCTCACCTCTGCAGGACCCTCTCTCCAGTCCTCTTCCCTGTAGCAATACTCAAAATGAGACAAAACATGCTTAGGTCTGGTCCTCTCCATCACCCCGGTGCTCAAACATTGCTAAATGTTGTTGGTGTCACAGTTTAAGCCCAGATGGAAATCAGGCACCACGTAGCCACTTGCTCAACCCCCTATCTCTTCCCCTGTCCCCCAGTGGAATAGGGAAGAGAACTGAGGTAAAACTTGCATGTTGAGGTAAGAAAGTTTAATAATTGCAAATAAAGTAAGAATACAATAATAATGGTAATTAATAATAATAACAACTAACAATAATAAAAAGGAAACAAACACGTGTTACATAATGCAGTTGCTCACCACCTGCTGACCAATGTCAGGTCCCCCTTCCTGAACCCAGATTGGCCACGCTTCTATGTATATACTTAGAATAAATACAACTTAGCAAAAAAACAAAATATCCATGTGTTAACAGCATTCCCATTCCGAATCCAAACACAAAACTATAAGAGCAACTAAGAAATTAACCTTACCCTAGCTAAAGCCAGGACAGTTGGGTACAGGACTCATATTCTGCTGAGGCAAGCTTTACACAGCGGACAAGGGGAGAGCACAGGAAGGAAGCAGAAGATGGTGAGCAGCTAACCATACAGAACGTAAGGGCCTTGTCCATCTTACAACTGACATCCACCCAACACTTTCACCACCCTATGAGTCCCAAAGATTTCAAAACAGAAGAAATCCACAATCCAAGGCTCAATTCATCGAATCAGTCCTTTGGCTGCACTGATTAGAAAAGTTCAGCTGTCTGATCAGCAACCTCCATCTTTGCTCTGGCCTCTTCAGTTGTGGCTTGACACAGAAGCTTCTAGAAACTCGGAGGCTGCCTATTCAACTGTTATTTTCATCCTGACTCATTTCTGTTGTTATAAACTTGCCTACCTTGGCACTGGGACATCCTTCCGGAAGCCATTCTTCTTTCTCTTTCATCTTCTGGGTCGTTTCCTTGGCTTTAACTAGGATTCTTTTTTCTTTTGTAGAGAGGAGAGTGGAGGAACTTGGTGTCTGTAAATGGGTCGCCCCGTCTCAGTTTACTGCAAAACCAAAGGGGTTACATTGAGTCATCAAGTATTCTTTGAAAACCTGTATGATTTTAGTCCCTAAAGTTTCTGATTTTACTGCAGTGCTTCTCCTATAAGATGATTCAGAGGTACAGCTTGTTCCTTGTCCATTAGAGAGTACCTTCTGACCCAGTATAACCAGCTATTCACAGAAAGTTCAAACTATGACACTTTTCAGGGAAAAAGCATAGTAGCTTAACAACAAAGTCATTATTTTAGGAGTTAAGTGATTCTGTGCAATAGCCATTGGAAGTACTGAATCTACAGTTTCTTAGGGAAAAGATGCAGCTATTTGTTAAGATACTCATATCTGCTAGAAAAAGTGAATATAGATACAGCCTGCTCTCAGGAGGAAAGTACTACTCAGGTGTGTAAAACCTTATCCCTTGCAGAACGTAAATGAAATCAAGGCTTTTGCTGAGCCATCTCTATCTAGTCTGTATTTTATCCTCACGCTCCTGCCTTATTAGCACTGGAGTACCACAGATGCCCATTTCAGCAAGGGAAATAACATCTTTGGTAGCTTGTTACCGGAAGCCTACACATCCATCTGTAATGATGTAGAATTTTGGCATAACCACATTGTGGTAGGAGAACCACAGAACACAAAGAGTAAGAGGAACTTAAACAAAGCAATAGAGGATCCAGCCCTGGAGGGTGAACACATGAGGGTGAACACCAGCAGAGCAGGTGTTGCAACATGGCAGCAATCATTGGAAGGAATAGTTTAAAGCCCAACCTGTTGAGTCTTGGTTCTTTATAGCAGGTGGGATTCCGTCTCCGCCTGGATGAGTGCCCTGATACTTCTTCCGAGATGGAGCAAGGAAGAATCCTGGTATTGTTCAAGTCCTGTAGTGGTTTGACCTCTGCAAAGGGAGACGTTCACACGAGTTGATCAAAGTGATTCCAAATAATTTCCAGATATCCTAAGAAATAACAAGCTGCCAAATAGAAAGGGCTGCATTACCACATTTCTCTGAATACTGCACAAACCTGAATCCAAATCACATTCCCTCTAAACTCAGGAGACCATTTTAATCCAAAAATACCAGACCTGGTCCTCAAAAGTCAGCTCGTAAATCAAATTAGGTTCCTCAGTGAAAAAATACAGATCACTAATACTGCTAGTATCATGGGCCCTGGTGTAGAAGAAAAATGATACAAAAAATATATTTGATAGTTGTAATGCCCAGGAGCTTACAGCCTGGAGGAGAGAGCAAGCTTATGATACACAAACAACCTACAAATTTCCAGCAAGATAAGACCATGCCAGTGTTCACTGCAGCTTGAAAGTGAAGTCAGCCAAAAGGGGGAGGGCAGGAGAACAAACCTCCCTCTCTACAAAGTACAGCCCGCTCTAGTTGTAACAGGCCTGTTTGTCAACAGCTACAGAAAGAAAACCCCATGAAATTACTCTCTTTACAGAGCATCCATTAATAGCAAATTCCTCAAAAAACCAACCAAAAAACCAAAAACCAAAGTAATTTAGGTTAGCTCCTGATTAATTTCCAGTGAAGATAACACCTAGAGGTATGAAATCTGAAACCTTGCAGAACTAACTATTCTGGACCAAAAATTTGCCATCTTCTTCATATTCTGTGCCCGATAATGCTGACTCCAGTAGGCAGGCTCAGCATCAAACTAGACTTTTCAACTGCTCGAGTATATGGTTTTCTAAATTAAAAGGCATGCTCTGTGGATAACAAAGGTGGTAAACAACACTTGCAGCACATGCTGCTAGTCTATTCCCAACATCCACAAGTGGAGAAAGTGGCCAGAAGTTCACATAGGAATGCTGATAACTAGAAGCAAATGCAGCCACAGAACTGACTGGCCAGCACAAGTGGAAGCATAAATGATCAGACTGAAGACTGATCTTTAACTCTGAAAAAAGAGAAGAAATAAAATATAAGCATTTGCTACATGGATTTTTTCCCCTCATCTCCAAACACAGGTAACCTCCCCAGCCCACCACCTACCAGGTTTCTGTGAAGGTGAGCTCTGAGAACTTGACTGCATTTCATTTGTTTCCCCAGGTATTTCCTCTGCAGTCTTTTCTTTAAACATCAGGGAGCTTTTCCGCCAAGCAGGTGATTTTTCTGGCATTCTGTTGCCCTCAGCACTCGAGCTCTTGGAAACTGGTACTTCTGTAAGCCTGGAGCTGACAGGCAAAGCTGCACAACTGGTCACAGAGGAGGATTCAAGATTGTTGGGAAGGTACATAAGACTATTTGTAAGTGATATCTCAGGTATCTGCTCCTCCAGGAAGCCATCTGGCTCAGACAGCAGATCTGTAATGCAGGAAAACTTCCCCATCAGGACAGCTTGCTTGGGTACAAGTTCCGTTGAACTTCCAGTGAGAACCTTGGCACCATCACTTTGTCTGGCCAGGGAATCAGTCTCCGGAGGTCTAGAGTTGTTCCTCTGAGGCTTGGGTTTGCAATAGCCATTATTTTTCAAATCACTCATGTTGTTTTCAACATTAGCTTGCCTTTTTTCTTGAAGGCCACCTGTCTGGTTTTTATTGCTCTTCTGATAGTTCTTAGCAGCTCTGGGGATTTTGCTAGCTTTGATCCCAGGAACTGACCTGGGAGGTACATTTTCACCCCCTTCAAATTCTGTCTGGACACAACCTAAGTTTCCTGCAAGATCCAAAGGATGGACAATGTAAGTTTTCCTGTTACGTTTAAGATTACCAGGCAAATCCTTTGTGCTCTCCTGAGCTACTCCTTGAACATCTATACAGGGCCCAAAAACATCAACTTCATTTCTCTGATCACAGTTGCTTAACGTGACAGTCTTCCTCCTTGTCTGGCTTCCTTTAGGATGTTCTTCAGCTTTGGCCTTTGGTATTTTCACACTCTTTGGTAGATACTCCTCATCAGAATCAACTCTTTGCCTAATCACTCTAGTTTTTCTGTTGGTTTTCTGCCTGATGCTCTTTCTGCTCACACTTGAGTCCTCTTGCAAAGCACAGGCATTTGAGGTCTCTTTCCTGAAGAAAAGTGAATTTTGGGGACTGGAATAATCTGAAGGAATTTCCTTACTTGAAAAAGTATGAACTGGGCTTTTTAATAAACTCTCCATATTTTGGATCTCAAAGATAGGTCCCTTCTTAACCTGTTGCATTGAGTCACCACATTCAAGACTGGGCAGCTGTGCTGGATTCACCACATAAGCACTTTCAAGATCTTGGATTCTCTCAGGAGAGTGGGAATGGTGCTCCACACTACAGTCTCTATTCTTGCTGTCAAAAGCCCCCACACAAGCCTTTTGCCCCACCTCACAAACTTCAGACTCAGTAGAGCACATTGCAGCTTCTGGCTGAAGAAGTTTCTTTGCATTTTGAGCACGATCTTCACCTTGAGATACATCAGGAATACCTTCTGCATTGTTTTTAATTGCGTTTGTTTTCTTTTTTCCTGTGCTTGCTTTTTTAACAGTCGTTTTCTGGCCAGTTTTACAATTACCTTTGCTTTTAACCTTTATAGGAACAAACTCAGGGGCTTGGCTACAGCTGGCATCCGTTTCAACACCACACTCAGTTTCTTTAGCCTGTGGCTGATCACAGAAAGTCTCTTTACCCACAGATTTTCTATCAGAAACAACAGTGGTTTGGGTAGGTGAAGCCAGGGAACTGGGAGATCTCAGCTGTTGATGTGTGTTGTTGTTGCTGGAGCTGCCGCAGTCCTTTGTGATACTGCACAAAGCAGCCTGAGTGGAACTGACACGTGGGAAGATCCCCACACCAGAAGATGGAGTGCTTGTAGCAAATAGGGTGGAACGCTTTCTCCTCTGAGTAACGTGCCCTTGTGAGAGACGATCGAGGAAATGTTTTGCCATCTCATCAGTCTCATATGAAAGAGGATGACTTTCCCAGGCAAGTGCTGGGAAACTGTTGGGATTTTGTTCGGTGGTGCACAAGACCTCTGTTAGAAAGACAAAATTCATTCCTAAGATGGAGAAGAAACACAGCAGGCAAATGCCAGCTTTCCCCGTACCACGAAAAGCCTTGCCCCACACACTGCCACAAAGCCAGAGCATAGAAAAACATGATTTTGTCTCTAAGAGACTCCCCAAACTTTCTGTGTAACAGAATTGCTTATCTGGCTCCCTCTCTGAACAAAAAGACATTCCAAAGCAAAATCCCTTTACATGCCATAATATTTAGGAACACTAATGATCCATATAAGAGTTATTACTTATACGGCAAATCCACAAGGAAAAGTTGTGCATCTAGTCAGATTCTGCACCTTCAGACGTTTCTGAAAATCTTATGTAAGCTGAGTGCCTATTGCTCAAAAAGCCTGATTTGCAGTCTTGAACTATTGCAAACATGCCAAATATCCACAGCAACCCATCCCATTCTGGGATATGAGTAACTACAGCAATAACAGCACCAGGGAAGTATGCAGTTCCTACCAGCTACTGAAGTGATGGTTAGGAGCTAACTGGAGCTCTGGCACTGCACTCATGCATTTCTGAGCAGAGACACACAAAGTCATACCAGAAGAACAGCAAAAGATGCAAATTTACCTCCAAAGATGCAAGAGTCATGGAAAGTCTCCTGCATTTCTTTTGTTTCAGTGAACTTCCCATTCTCTTCCTGGTGGGACTGAGGTTCCTCAGCATGCTGTGGTGGCAAATTGTCTTTGGAGGCAACAGGCACGATTTTCAGGGGCTCATTAGAAGAAGGTTTCTGAAGTTCTCCCGCGCATGTTTGTACTGCTGTGGAGCTGCCACCTTGCTGCCCTGCATTACACAGCTTGGATATGGGCACCCTCATTGGTATCCCTGTAACCCTGGTAAGAAGGAATAACAGCAATGGAAGACGTTCCACATGCATGACAGCCCCAAAATCCAGCAGGGTAACCACAGCTTTCACCTCCATCGGGAGTTGACGCAATACATTTCTGAAGTTTTCAAGTGCTGAAGAACACACACTGCCCAGTCAGGACAGATTTCCCACTTTTGGGCAAGCACAGCACTTAAGGAGATCACACTGCTGTGGACACAGAAGTAGGAGAAAAATACACTGAGGGAACAAGGAAGTAAATGCCTTTCAGCACACAGGTTGTGACCACACATTCACCATGCTGTGGAACACCAACACAGCTGACCGATGTTATGCATGTGGGCGACTCCAAGGACTCCCCTGTGTTCCGAGGGGAGACTAAACAGAGGAGAAACAGAACTTCAGATACATTTTAAGAGATCCTGCTCTGATCATTTTTCTAGAATACAAGTTTACATCATACAAGCAGGTGACTATTAAGCATTTATATGTAACAAACATGAAAGCGGCCAGCTATGGCATTCACTCATTCAAGGAAATCTTGCAGTGCTCACCAGCTACAGAGGGAAAACTACCCAAAAGTAATGCAGTCTCAAATAAAGAAGGCAGAAGGACCAGCTTTTGCACAGACTTGGCACTAGGACAAACAAGACAAGGAGTGGCAGCAGAAAGACACAGAGTAAAGGAAAATATCAAGCAGTGGAGGTTCAGAGAAGATATCTCACATAAAACTGGCAACTAGGCACACATGTAAAACACAAGAAGTTTAGCATATAGAAATACAAGACAAGCTTGCTGATATCATTTTAAGGCCCACCTCAGAAGCTGACCATCTGCAATATCATCAGCCCAGCAATCTTCAGTCATGCTGCTCTTCTGGTCACTGGACAAGGATGTAGAATTTGTATGGAACTGGAAAGAAGAAAAATAGAAGAATGGGTTAAAGTTGTTATAATCCTTAGTGCAGTCTCATGCATAGAAACAGCAGAAGCTCAGTTTCACTTTGGAAAGTATGTAAAATGCTGCCAGTGACCCACTCCCATTTAAAATTGCATAAATTATGAAATAAATTGCAGCAGAACTAGATTCTGTCTCCACAACCTTAAGGATGAAGTTAAACTAGTTCAGATAATATGAGACTAGGAAGCAGGAATACTTTCCCTATCCACCCATTAGACAGGAGGGAAAATATTCTATTCCCCATCTCAAGTTGCAATGGCAATATTTTAAAAAATAAATTGAAAAGAACTCACAGTGTGTCAGAACAGAAGAGCCTACTGGCCAATACAGCCAATGATCCAGAGGAAGGCAGTTTAAAACTGTAGCCCTTCCTACAGAAGACATTACAGCAGAAATCCTTAACATCAAGATAAAAATAAGGATGCTGCCAGCATAATTCAAATAAGCAAAGAAAAACAGCTGAAGCATCCAACACTGCAGTGAGCAGGTAACACAAAAGACAGAGACAAACAAAGCCCCCTTCCCAGAGCAGTGTGCTCATGTTTCCCATAGTTTACCTCAGACAGTCGGGCCATCTTAACTGCAGCCATAAGATTTTCAAATTCTTTCAAGATATGATTCTATGTTGAGGTAATAAAGAGAGAGAAGCCATAAAGACATTAAATTAAAGCATCTATTTCAACACAGATATTGGTAGCCAGAACAAGGAATGTTCTGGGGAGAACACAGCTTGCAAAAAAAAAAAAAAACCAAACAAAAAAACCCAAACAAAAAAAACAACAACAACAACAACAAAAGAATAAGTAAATGAATGATGACCTTTTTCATATGACAAGAATTTGGACAATCAGCAGCAGATCACTCCTCCCAAGGCTGAGATGCTAGTGCTGCATGCCTTGCCTACCACACCTCCCCATGCCAGGCCCACTGCTAGTGCCATACCTGGAAGGAGAGCCTGTGCCGCAGCACAGCGTTCTGGAAGTGGCACTGCTCCACCTCCTTCTGTAAGATGGTCTTCTCCTGGGTGAGCCGCTGTGCATTGGCTTTCTCTGCATTGAGGGCAAGAGCCAACGCTTTATTGTTGTGCTTCAGGGAGACTTTAATAGTAGAAGAGTTGTCTGTAAGAGATAGACAGATATCACACAAAATCAGCATCCAAGGTTTGGTCCATGCCTCTTCCCTCATCATACTTCTTCCTCTTTCCAGAATAGGTTTTCTTAGATTCAGATTTCTACAACTCAATAGCCCTCACGCAAAGCCAGCAGTATAATTCCTTCCAGCAAAGTCTCCAGAGAATGGTAGGAACAAAATTTCCTTAATAACCCGCAACACTTCAGACACTCTCTTCATCCTCAGTGGGTCACGCTCAGGTAGCAAGCTACTGCTTCAAGTCTTAAGGAATGATAGCATGGTTCAGGTGCTGAGTTTGAAAAAATATGCTTCTGGCTTTGAACAAGTCACCTGCGTCCTCATCTTCATCCAAAAAGTGGGAGAAAAACCTATTTTCCTCTAGTTGTCCTTGAGCAGATTTAGAGCCATGTTTCCCAATTTCAAAACAATTAAATAAGAGTAATAGAAATATCTAATTTTTTCAAGGTAGCCCAAATTATCGCATGTGCTATTTTTGCATTATTTCCCCCACAAAAACAAGTCACAGTTGGGCTAGCTTCTGCACAGGATTGCATATACACGAAAATACTTTCCACACCTCTAGTTTTTGCTATTGGGACTCCGAGGACTCAGTTTCCCAAACACAGATGTCTGATGTCATCTGAGATGCTGCTGAGCAGCCTTTGACACCCCAAGCTAATGCACCAAAGGTTCTGTGTTAAACCTGCCAGTAACAGATACTTCAGAAACCCTCGGGCACCTTGAGCGGCACTTCACACTCATTTGCAGGGCACTGAAATCACTGGAAACCCCCGGGCAGAGAAGCTGCCTAGACTCTGGGTAAGGGACTGCCGCCCATCGCCACGCCCAAAAGCACAACTCCAAGCTGATGGTGCTGCAGCCCCCACACGCACTGCAACGCAAAATACACTCACTGATGATTTTCGTTTTGATTTTGGATACAAGCGAGGCATTCAACTTCGCAGTCCTCAAGGCACCCTTTTTCTTCTCCCGCATCCTCTCTCTTACGTCGCTCAGGCTGAAGAAGGACGTGTCGGTGGCCTCCCGAGATGCCATCGCTGTAGATAGAGCGACATCGAGCAGGGTTAGCACCCACATTCCCCGCCAGCAAGTCCTTGGCGGCCAAGACTCGCACTGCAGCGGCCTCGCGGCCCCAGCACAGCCCCGGCACGGCCCCGCTGCCCCACGCACGGATCGCCGGCTCACCTGCGGACGGGGCGGCTGCCTCGGGCCACGGACGGGGCAAGAGGGAAGGGCGCCAGCAAGAGAAAGTCCTACCCGCCAAGCGACTTTTGAATGCGAGCGGGCCGGCGATCAGCCCGCCCCTCGCTCCGCCCCGCGGGATGGCGGCGGGAGCGGCCTCCTCTCCGCGCTCCGCCCGGGCCGGGCCGGCCGGGGCAGCTCCGCCCGCCCTCAGGGCGAAGGCGGGCCTGGCCGTGCGCGTTCCCGGCCGCCGCGGCCCCGCTGCTCGCCGGGCTGCAAGCGCCGAACTGTAAGCGCCGAACTGCGAGGCGCTGCTGCCGCCACCTCTCCCGGCCCCACGGAGCCACTCCGCTCTTGGAATGCCTCAGAAAGGCCCGAGGGTCGTTCTGAAGGGCGAATCTCACCCAAAAATTGGGGTTGGTTCGTGCACAGAGGTTAGTATTTGGCTTGCAGATTTCACCTGAAAGTCATGTTTTACTGTCTATTAAAATATTATTTTTTTTCTTATGTAATTTTCACTTCAGCCCAAGTTAATGCACTTACACCCTTGAATTTGCCCTCAAGAAGTTGACATTATATGGGCTGGTGTGATGACGTTAAATATTTTCAGGAAATTACACATAAGGAAAAAGCAGCCAAATAATTTGAAAAACAACAATTGAGAGTGGAGGTGCAATTTATAGTGGAGGTGCCAAGGGAATAAGGCTGCTAAAAACATTTCTACCTGTTGTCCCCAGACAGGTTCCTTTACCCGGTGTGCTGTTGGCTGATCCCCACACAGAGTCGAGATATTTGATTTATTTACAGTTCTGCACAGAAAGGGATGCTGGAGGTCGTATCCACAAAGCCAGCACGACGACTATCAAAACTTTTCACTATTTATACATTTTAGTAAGCAAAGGCATTCATGTTCATTGGCTACAAGTTACATACTTCTCTTATAATTAGTATTTGATCTTCTATTAATTAAATTATTCCCTCACTTCTTATGCTAATTAGTCCATATGCTCTTCTCTTGAATTGATGGGTTTCATGAGTCAGTGATCAGAATGTGCCCCTGACGGAATTATCTTTTACCTAGTTGGGACTGATTTCAGCACAGTTGCTGAGTTGGCTTTGTTAGGTTCTTCCTTATCCTGGGAGTTCTGCCAAATGTCCTTGTGGCTTGTAAATTCTGCATTCTTTGTGTCCACTATCAGTAGTACATCCTTCTCTCCAAACTGTTTTAATGTCCCACTGGAGCTGAGATCACTGAAGCATGTCAAGGCCTAAACCTTAGCAAGGCAATTCTACCAACAAGTAATTTATCTTTCTAACAGCTGGACATCACACCTGCTGCCATAGGCATGTGAATGGTAGCCCTTTGCAAAAGTCCTGAATCCTACTCCTCTTTTATGTCATATTTGTTAATACATTAGCTGATAAGCATTAAATAATGCCAAGTATTGAAAAAAATTATTCACTCAATTAAGTAAGAGATTGACAAAGCACCCTCGATACCTGCCCTAAAATCAGACCTGCAATGGGTTACAATTCTGCCTGTAGCTTTATCTCTTGCTCTGGGGAAACAGACTGGTGTTAAATACGCTATGGTGTGGGAAAAAGACGTAAGTATCCTGTAAGACATATCCTATGCTCCCTGTGTGACAAATTCTACAGTTGAGGGGTCTAAACCTGCGTGATTAAATTTACTAAGTTACTTTACTAAGTTTATTAAGCACACTGATCAGCAAATTAAACTAACAGTTGGTATTTTAAAACCAGATAGTCTCTATTTAAATAGTGGAAATCTTTGCCAGGAGATATTGCAGATTTCAATTACTCAGAATTTCAATTTCACTTACTCAAAAAGTGATTGGACAAGTTTGTGAAAGTTAAAAACAAGCAAGGGCTATTAACAACTAATGCAACACTTTTTGCTGAAGAAGGTCCTGAACTGGAGAACAGAGAAAGAACACTGAGAAAGTTTGATGCCTGCCAGCACAGTTCCTCCATCTCTTCCCCAGGCATCCACTAGTGGCTGCTATTTTATCTTTACCTGGGAAGAGGACAAACACAGCGGCCTCCCCCGCCTTGCAATGATATAGAAGCATTTCTTGCTTTTGGGGAAATGGCAGGAGTCAGTTCACCTGAGGGCTAAGGACCAGACTCATTTCAGGAAAGTCCCTTTCTTCATCAGGGTATCACCCTTGCCACATAAAAGGAGAGGGGTTGGGTTAGTAGGACTTGGGGTCAGCCCTGGCATGACTATGTTTACTTTGTGAAGGTGGTTTTTCCCTCTCATCCGGCCATACCAGCAGATAAACCCTGTGTAAGTGTAACTGGTGGAAAGTTATACCTGGCAATCAGTAGATCTGTGTTTCTCAGAGCAAACAAGCAGCAGCTCTACTGGAGACACGATTGCCATGATGCCTGCCAGGCAAATGCCCTCAGAAATCAAATCTAGCTTGGAATGAAAGGTGAGAAGTGCTAAGCTTGGTGCTCCTTCTGCCACAGAATAAATGAGAATGGCAAATGAAATAACAAATAGAAAGCACCTTCCTGGAAAACATCTATGTCTCATGATAATACATTTTCTTTTATGTTTTCTTAGGCCATCACAAAGATCATCACATTATGATCATTCTCTTAAAATCATTCCTATTTTTTACGAGGAAGTCAGTTAATAACAGAATAATTACATTTCCAAGGAGAGCGATGGCTCATTCCATTCAGATCTACAGCCTGCAAACTTTCCTAATCTAAAAAATCCAATAGCTTCTCACTGACTTTGCTAGTCATCATGATACATTGGCTACCATCAGCAATTCCATGTAAGATGTGCCCTGCCTGCATTGGAAGGACAACAGTGGGGTTCAGAACATCATATTGGGATTTCTTGACTGTTAGAATTTCTCTCAATACTGTAAGCAAAAACATAACATAAATGAAAGAACAAGTAGCAGCATCCTTGCTTTATGCCATAAACACTGGAAATGGAACTGTAGATGGGCTCTTGGGAGGTATCAAGTCTAATCTTTCACCATTCCATTTGGTGAAATGCTGAAACAGTAGAAGCTGGTAGCATCTTTTACAAGCAATTAGATCTGTCAGAAAACCCAGTGAATAGTCTCTGCCTCCCTTGTTGGTGAGTCTTTTATGTTTCCAACTAGCCACTCAGCAGTGAAACTCAATGCCTAGAAGTGTATTAGGATCATCTAGCTTGAAACTGATAACCCAAGCTGAAGGTGCAGGTTTAACCTCTTCTTTGTGGTAGTTTTTGTTTATTGTTTGTGGATTTTTTCTTTTAGTTTCTCTCAGCTCAGCGGCATTGTTTCTAAGCAACACAAGAAAGCAGCAGTCCTGCATGAAGCCATAGCCTAATTTCCCTGGCACACAAAGGAAGACAGAGGCAAGAAAGGAACAGCAACACCAAGAGGGAAATCCTGCTCATAAATACCTGAAGTCAGAGAGGCTCCAAACCCAGATCCTGAGGCCTATTGCAAAGTTGATACAGGTAGTACATGATTTCTTGTGTACATGTATGAGAGGCAGAATAGGAGAACAATATTCAGTAACAGAGAGCTTTGTGTATTATGGAGCAAAGCAGTGGAGCACGCGCTTTGATGTTACAATAAATTGGTGGCCCAGGTGCTGGCTTCTCTCTTTGCTATTACTTCATCTTGCAACCTGTGCTCTTCCCAGTCTGTTCCCCCTTTCTATCACATAGATCTGGTTAGTAGACACACAGTGGAGAGAGCAAGCCTTGTGCTAAGAAACCTGTAAGCAGTAGCAGGTCAACAGCTTGCATTATATGAGATATACATCACTATGTTGGGGATGCAAGCAACCTGCAAGCTGATGCTCAAGATTGATGCTTATCCTAAATGGGCTCATTCTGCCCATTTCCCATTACCAAATTCCTTACCATCACCCTCAGTATTGTTCATGTTTTCTTCTTTCTTGACTAAATTTTTATCAGTTTCTATTTTAATCCTACCTTGGAAATTATTTTGGCTAGATTTTTGTAGGGGGTCTCCAAGTGTCACATTCTCTTTATCTGTTTTTGAGCAGAGACACTTGGTTCTCTCCTAGATCCCACTGAGCTTATGTTACAGTAAGAACTAGAATATGGAAAGAAAACGCCTGAAGAAAAAGATTGAAAAACTCCTGTAAGTAGTAACTGCCCACAACTGCTTTCACTGCACTTGAGATTGGCTTGTTTTCATTGCAAAGGGTGGTATGACTAGGTGGATGACAACTCTCAAACCCTAGTCTTCTCTTGCTGATAAGTATGAACAGACTTCTTTTGACAATTTCTTGCATGCAGTCTGCAGTGTGAGCCCTGACTGCACATGTGACAGTAGAGTCATCACAGCCCAGAACTTGCTCAGTGGAGCAAGCAGAGAGGTGCAGAATTCCCCCCTTGCAATGCATCTGGGGCAGCTGCTGTCTGTAAGGGGTCTCCTAGTTCATGCCTCAGTGTCTCATGCTCTTCAATGCAGGACTGCCCAGCAGACAACTCCTAGGGGATGTAAGCACTGTCCCCTCTATTCCACACAAGTCCTGTGCCCATCTTCTCTAGGAATGTTTGCATGGATCTGTAGTACTTCATCCGAGGAAAGATTAAAGAATCGGGCCTCTCCTGGATGAGAAGAACAAGCACCAGTGAAGCATCTCTTTCATTCTCTGTACAGTGAAATTCTTCTTTGAGTCCCCAGACTTTAAATAATAATTTCATCTTTCTTTTTCCTATATTTTGGAGCCTTTGGAGAAGACAGCAGTGTGGTTTGAAGGAAGCTAAGATTAGCAGAGATGCAAAATACTAACAGCTTTCCTGCTTGGGTACTATCTGTGAGAAATCCTGCAGCAGATTCCTAGCCCTGAATCATAGTGAATTTAGCCTTGGTCTTGCACCATCTTTAAAGTCATCATTACATTTCCTATGCACTGGTTTGCTTAGAACCAGCTGTAATTTAGTGTTATTTCCTTGTTTAAGGGGAGATTATGTTGGCATCAGACTACGAGAAAAAGAATTTGATCCAAGAGGACAAAGGCCACCCACCTTTCTAGATGACATGGTAATCACCAGACTTCCTACTTCCTATCCTCTTTAACTGCAGGGCTCCTGAGCATTCTGAAGGATGGCTATTTGGTACAGCTAAGTAACCTATCCCTGCAATGATAAATAGCAGTCCATTACTGAAATGAGTACCTAAATTGGCTGTGAATAGCATCCAGGTATAATGTATCCAAGATAATTCAAGGTTTTGTTGATTTTTTTAGTAAGAAAAAGCTCATTCACAGAAGGCATTTGACAAGTCAACTAATCAAAGATTATTCTTCACAAGCCAAGGCTGTTGGGGCATAACAAAACAGAAAGTCTTCCTGGATGTATTTTAAACCTCTCAAACCTTATCAAGCGTCTTACAAAAGTGAGGTACTCAGTTAGTTGAGGCAATACTGGGCACAGCTCAGTTTCCCTGAATTACCCTGGTCTTTCTGTCTTCCCTCACTCAAACAATTACAGTCAAACAAAACACATAAGATTCTTCTGTCTTTCCAGGTCCATTACAACTTAGCCCTCAGTGTTGCTTTGCAGTGGCTTAGTGACTTGGATGCTCCGATTGCACTGAGAGGAGAGAAAATGTGAGTATTGCGAAGCTAAGGTCCTGCTGCTGCAGTGGGCTACACCAGTGTGAAAATGAGGTAAAAGCAGCATTGAATCAACCCCAGGACTACTTTTTGCATTTATAACACCAGGATAATAATCTTCTTGTTCAAAACACCGTACAGGAACTTTGCAGCTCACAACCAATACACATATCCCAACCGAACTGAGAGAGAGGCTATGATATTATCTTCATACGCTGGAATATTAATGGTAAGAGGACAAGAAAGATGGCAGTATCTTTTATTCTATGGCATACAGAACAGAACAGAATAGAATAGAATAGAATACTCCCTGTATCCCAGATGTCTTTGTTCAGCACAGTATACAGACAGTGCAAATGTTACAAATCCATCTCATTTTTATCAAGTAGCCATTAAGTTTTGCTCAGTCTTAGAAAACAAAATAGGCAGTTTCAGTAGGTGTGTATATGTGTATATGTTACTTAACTTGTTTCACCCAAGTGCAAAATGGCAAGCAAGTTTCAGGACCAGATTTCAATAGATTTGTACCAGCAGTATGAAACAATAGCAGGAGTTCATGTGAAAGCTGTTTCAGAGATCAAAGGAAGGGGATATGAGCAGGATTTCCTTCATTCACTTGAAAGAATACTACTGCTGAGAGCTGAATCTCTCTTTTATCTGTTTTTTTACCTTTTACTGTTCACAGAACAGCATTCCTATAGAAGAGATCTTTGAGATTTACAGCACGAGGCCCTCAGCAACACACTGGCAGAGGTCTGCAAATGTGAGTGATTTGGGGATTTTTCAGCATCTGTAAAGGAAGTGATCCTATAATATTTGTGCCTTTCAAAAAAAAGCACTGCATTTTAAACTGAAGTCATTTGCCCCTTTTGCCCCATTAGTAACAGCAAACAAGCTCTAGCCCTCTCTTAGGACAGAACAAAAAGCTGAACTATTCACCACCTCCTCCTCTATCTTACAATGTGCCAGGGAGAGGCAAGAAAAGGGCAGCCCAGTTACTCACATCCACACTAAGGTGTAAGACAGCTCCTGCACCTTTGTCATAATGCTTTACAGAGGAGCATTCCCACCAGTGTGCTCTAATTACCACTCGTGTGGAGTAGGGAAAGAGGCTATGAAGGTCTGAGGAGATACAGCCTGGCATGTGTTCAGAGCAACTTTCTCTAGCTATATATCTTTAGTCATATAATTGCCCTTTAAAAAACAGGAAATGTATTATAATCTTTAATTCATGACTCAGGTCACAGGAAAGTATTCCCTATGACCAAGCTCCATAATGAAAAAGCATTTGTACTGGAATATATAGATTCTATTTTCAGTAACACAGACTTCATTGGTGTTTCCCAAGCAACCATTAAAAGTTGATGTGGAATTGTAGTCAGACTATAAGAAATGATTCATATGTAATTCACAGTGTTTCTAGTACCCTTTATTTTTTTCCCTCAGTCATGCTTAGCTGTAATATTAATGACAGACTGCCACCCGGTGTCCAGAAAGGGCAGAGCTACACCAGCTCACAGTTGTGTGCATCAGAACAGCCTTGGCTGTAACCTCTCTTAGTTGAATTCTTCCATGTCAAGCACTAGAAATGTCACTAGATGCCATGTAAGGGCATTTCACAATATGTTATTTAGAAGGAGGGATCTTCCTCTCTGCTCCTGGGACAAGTGGGTGGATCAGCTGTCTCTCCTTTTGCTGTGAATATTACACTGTGTATTTTTACTCTCTTGCTTCATATGGACAGGAATACTTTTCTCTAGTAACTTCCAACCCAGGATATTTTTAGAATTCTCTATTTTGAGTGCTCACCATACACTGCAGAGGAGTGATTTTTCTTGAAAGGTTTCCAGCTACTCATGCTGTTTCCCATGGTGGAGTGTTTGAGTTTTTGTGGGGGTTTTGGTGGTTTTTTTCCTTTGGGAGGAGGACAGGTTATTAGTAGTATTTTTATCTTTGATTTAGATTCTGATGTTATGTAATCAGAGACAAAGAAAGAACAGAAATAGTATTTCTGTTCATCTGATATTACTGTGCACTTGCTTAGATCCTGTCCCTTGTGGACTCAGAGACACTTCCTTAATGGTCACAAGGTAGCAAAGTTACAAAATTTTCTAAAGAGGAAGGTAAGCTCAGGATGTCCAGTTTCTGTTTCAGCCAACAATACTGCTTCATTTTATTCATGGGCTTAAGATCATTCCCACCCTACAAGAAAGGAATGGAAATGCTTTGCTGAGCTGGGAAACTAAGGATACTTTATTTTGCAAAGCCCTGATTCATTTAAGATATTAAATCCCCTGTTTTAAATTAACAGTAACTCTTGAAGCTCAGCTTATGCTTCCTTAACAGTCCTAGACTCAAAGGGATGGAATCAAGCCCATCTGAAAATTCAGTTTCTGTGTATTTTTCCCACTGAAGTAAAATGGTGGAGATTCCCGTTATTCTTCATCACTTTTGAAGCTTTGGCTTGAATCTCCTTGAAAATCAAGCACTAGCTTTACCAAGATATATAGGTACTTAAGGAGCCTAAGTCACATTCTAGTGACAGTTAGGATGGAAATTATAAATGGTGCTCATTTATCCATCAGGACTGCTGAAGCAGTTATCTTAGCTTCTGCTGACCAGAAGAGTATGCCCATTGTCTTGGCACATAGTTTCTGCAGATATACTAATCTATGAATTGTTGTCCTTTCAGGACCACTGGATTCAACCTTTCAGGTTCTCCCTGCACCCATTTGCCATGCTGACTGCCCCTGAAGCTGCAGAGTATGCCTGGAAGCAAAGTGAGCACATTTCACCCCATCTCCTACAGGGCCAGGGCAGGGGAACACAGAGCAGCACCAGGCCCAGCAGAGCTACCAAGTTACAGCCTGCTGAGCTCCAACAGCTGCACATGGAAAGGATGGTTAAAACCTTGGTCTGTGTGTCTTTTCTTGCCTAGAAATGGCATCTTGCTCAGGCTCCTGAAGTTCATGACAATTGCAAAAGGTGCATTTTGCTCAAGTTGAGGTAAAAAATAAGATTACACGTTTCTAGTAGAATCAGCCTTCATGTCTGTCCATCACTTGTTTGTTCTTAAGCTTGGACTAATACTAGAACTTTTGCAAAGGTCAGTTAGGCTACTGGCCAGTGAGAGCCACCTACAACTTGCCTGTTTCTTCTCCAAGTGCAGCAAAAATGAGAATAATTTCAGGAGCATTAGAGAATTTCAAGCTGGAACCCCTTACCTCCAACCATGGGCCAACTGCAAGTGAGCCTATGCAATAGGTCTGTAAACCAGCCTGAGGGCACACTGTAAGCCCAAGATGATATGAGGCTCTTTCTCTCTCCCAAGGCATCAAGTACCAGACAGGAACAGCACATGAAAAGCAAGTACCTTGTTCAGCAAGGAGAGATAAAAAGGACCACAAGCAACTGGACCCACTGACCAGAGGAAAGCAACACATTGACAAAGTAAGTCTGAAGAGTTCACACAAGCCATTAAAACAGTGTTTGCAACACTATCACTGGATGTCACAGAGTGGCACTTCAGGCCACTTGGAGCCCACACAGCCTTTCCGGTCTGCCCTTCTCAGTTCTCCTTAGCATAGCAGCATTAGTATATAAGTGTCAATTCTAAACTGGACTTCAAGCTATTAACAGGAGGTGTCAGTCGTGAGCAGGAAAGTCAGTTGCAGTCATATTCAACATACACATGGAAAGCACTCTCCTGGCTAATATCCCTGAAAAACATACTCACTATCACTTTTAGGTTTAAAAAAACCAAACCTATTGTTACAAAAATTAACAAAAACTTAACTCCATAAAGAATCCAGTAATGTCAGATTAGCCTAGCATGTTCATGAATTAGGTTCTGCCTTTCTCTTTGACCTTGATTTGCTAAAGCCTATTGTTTGCTGCAGCTCCACTGAGCAGCAGAGCTAAGAAAACATTCCAGCAGCAGGGCTGGATTTGATGAACCAGAGTAAGGGTGCTCCCCCACAGCCCTGAGTTCAACATGCATCACATGTCACACAGCAGGAGGGAAGCTGATCTGCCATGCAGTCCCCACCTCTCCCGATGGATTCAGCCCTGCCTGCTGTGCTTGCGCTTATTAACATTTGCATCCTGCAGGGAGCTACAGAAGCAAAACAAGGAATCTCTCCAAGGAATCCTGGAACAGATTCAAAAGTGGGGAATGCAAAGGAAGCAAAGACGTAACAAAAGCCTAGACTTCATGTACCTCACTTAGTTGTAGGTGAGCTAACTGATGTCTTCTACCTTAGCTTTGGGAATTTGCATTTTGTTTTGTTTGCAACTTTTGTTTTGGTTGATTTTGGGGTGGTTTTTTTGTTTGTTTTTAAATCTTAGCAGTCATTCCTTCCTTCCTTCCCAACCATCATATCTTACATCCAAGACATCCACTTCCCTTAGCCAGTTCTCTCCTGCTGCCCTGCCAGTGTGTTGGGAGCTTACATTTTCCCAGTGCATCCCTACTGATTCTCAATGTACCATGTTACTTTTACAGAAGCAAAGAGAGGATGCAGCACTTCAGGGGCAGGGAGTACACAGTTCCCCTTTTCCACAGTGCTTTGCAACTCCCACACATGATCCAGTGTTGGGCAGGAATGAGCTTCCCTACACGTTACATGTGGGTTGTGCCTCTCAGGATGATCACACTTTCTTCAGCTCTCCCCTCTAACCACCCTGCTTTCTTATTTCAGCAAAGGGCTCAGCTAAAGAAAGCCTCTCCCTGCAGTGCCAGTGTAGCACTGAAGTCTGTCTTCCAATCTCCATTTGTAGGTCTCTGATAGTTTGCCTCTGTTATGTCCAGGCTGTGTTGCCGAAGAGCACTCCCCATTTCCTAGATGGGCTGTCAACTTTAATCCTTGTACTGACTCTACCTTGGAATATGAGTTGGATGTGGTTCTGCTTCCACGTTCCCTCTTCCTCTGTCAGGAAGCTTGAGCACACAATATGGGGTGTTTGTATTAGACTCTTTCTACCTAATTCCATAGAAATTTCAGGGCTCAATGGGGTTGAAGTATTCACTGCTGAGAGGTGTGTTTAACACTAACTGCAGGGTAGAGAGACTTCATTAGAGGTCCTTACATATAAAAATGATAAACATGAAGATTTCCGGCTACTTGTAGCCAGGGGATAGACAGTTATCCAAAGTATGGTCACATATTGTACAGCTGCATTAACCCATCTCTCTTGGAGATGGTCCTGTACTCTAACACAAAGTATCTACTAAAGGAAAATAAAAAATAAACATTTGTGAAGCAAAAATATTTTTCTCCTATTCTCCTTTCTGCTGGTTCTCAGTCACTGAGCCTATTTATGGAGATGCCAAAAGAGAGCACTACGCAGGAAAGCCTGGGAATGGTTAAACTTAATCAGGGATTAAAGGGTCTTTTAGAAGTCCTCATGGACTCAAAGCTTGCTTTCAGCTTACCAGGTTCACAGTGTTTGGTTTTTTTAATACATCACAAATTTCCTATTAAAATCAGTCTAAAATAAAATGTAGTTCCTGTAAACACCTATCCTTGCAGTTCTGGTTTGTCCCTGGGGAAAGCCCTGACTACAGCTTGATACATTTAGAAATTACAGATTAACGAGCGAGTCTTTGTGCTGATATAGATGGGGCTTCTCAGCCATACCACGCATCCCCTCACTTTCCTTTCAAGCCATGTGAGCCCAAATTCTAGGCCTTTAGAAGTCAGGTGAGAGGGCTGGGGGGATCTGAGGTAAACAGCATCACCTTCTATTACGCAGGAACTCTTTAAGAATCTCTGCAGCATCAGCAGTTTTGGCCTGGTTAGTTCACTCTGCAGGAAGGGAGACTGCTGGAACACACTATCCAATCCTATTTAGTAACTAGTTTCTACCTCTCCTCTATTGTCTGTGTTCACTGCTGGGATAGGTCTACCCTGTCATATTCAGCACTTGCTTTTTCCTGAAGTTCAGAGCATCCATCAACTTCTGAGCAGAGGCTTCCGTTCTTGCAAACAAACTTGCAAACAAATTCAGTAGAAGAGTAGGTCAGTAATAGGACCCTGAGCAAACTTCCTCCCAATTCAAACAGCACCAGTCTGACCCCTGGAAAGCCAACACAGAGAGAAATTGTCCTTTGAAATGAGGTCACTACAAGAGGGGAGGAGGGGATATTGCTGCTGAGCACGAGAGAACAATGGTAAGGGGGTAGTTCAGATTAAACAGCTAGACAGAGAGATTAACATCTCATGACTGTTTTTTGTTCACTGACCTGTAATAAAATAAACAGTAAGACTTTAACAAATAGGTGATTAGCCTCATTATTCCAGTGCTGTCTTTGCTATAGACTACTGCCATGGCCTTCATTTTTCTTTGAGTAATACTTCCTGGTTTTATGGGTGAGACTGGTGGAGTTAAGAGGAATAAGCAACAGAAATCTTACTATGCTAATAAGCAGAAAAACAGTGTTTCATTTTCAGAGTGCAAGTCCATGCCTCTTTGCTACTCCCTCTTCTGTTGGCTGGCTGGTGTCTGATTGTCTGCACACAAAACTCAAGCCCAGAAGATCAGATGGTTTGCTGCTCACATGTTCAGACAGCCAGAATTAGAGAGCTGAAAGGTGCTTGTAGGTGTGGGCACTGTGGGATTGATAAATGATAGCCTTCTGCCACCTTGACTGAAAACTCCTCCTTTCCTGAGCTATATTGTCTCCTGAACAAACAAGGCCTTGCTGCAACCAGACCAATTAGTCAGGACAACTTCAAACTCTTTTCTCAGCTATGCAGAAAGCAGTGGACATAGTTCAGAGCTCAGATGCAATACAGAGTCATGAATTTGTTCTACAGGACCAGAAGAGACTTCTGATCATATGTGCAGTTAGTACCAGTTGTCACATGCGTACATTTTAGTGCCTATCATTGCACTGCAATACAATCCACAGCGAGAAAGGTAAGAGGCCATTCTTGGACTGCTCTTTTGAAATACCTGAAATCACAGTACTGAGGCAAGTAGAGAGCTGAACAGGGCAGGGCATTATCCACTTTTCCTATGGCAATTTAAGAGCTGCCTATTGTACCCCAGAGGCCGACTTCCACAGCAGAACTCATGATGGCAGCTTGGTGCTGCAATCCAGAAACCAGTTTATGACACTGAAATCAGATGGTTTCACTCTTAACATTCTTGACTGTGAACAGCACAGCAGCTGAGGCACCGGCATACTGTCTGCTGGACCAGAGATGGTAACTTCTTAAACTGCTCAACACAAATTAGTAAGTCAGAGTCTTTAGACCATAGCCAGAGTTAGTAGAGCACTGACAATGCAAGCAAGCCTGAATTTCCCCCTCATTTCTGCTACAGTAATCCTGACTTCAGACGCATCACTACTTATTCTCTAGCTAGTCCTGAAAATTCTCACTCATTATGATGAAGAGCTTTTTCCTAGCCAAATATCATGTGGAGACATCCATTGTGGAATGGCAAAATATCTCTTTTTTCCAAAAGATTAGTTTAGCTGTAGGACAAAAATATAACCAATCTCTTCTTAAAAGCATTAGCTTGTCAGGTTGGAAAGTCAAGTGCACAGGACTTTCTCTTCAAGAGGCAGCCAGGAGCAACAGCAAATACCAGAGTGAAATCTGTGAGAAAATCAGATACACTCCATCCTGTAAAACACTGTAAAAGATGCTGGCCTCACGAGGGGAGTAATGGTTGAAAGACCTAAGAATGGTTAGAGGTGCTTAAAACAGAAACTAGCTCAGGCTGCCTCCAAAAAGGAGTTTGTTTGCAGCAAAGCAGAGTCAGAGGGAACACCAACTGCCAAATTCTGCACTGTCACCAGGTCACCTGCTGTTATGGAAGTGATCTGCCAGGTACTTGCACACAGGTATTTCCACTGCCAGTGCTAAACACATAGTTCATTTAAGTGAAAAAAGTGTATGGTGTGGTTCCCAAAGGCATCTAGGGCTAGACTTCATGGCCTTTCATGGGGACTTGCCAGCAGATAAATATCAAGCCCTCAACAGTGTACTTACAGTAATATCAGCAATATGTAAAGTCAACTACAACAGACAATCAAACATCATGACAAGGAAATCCAGCAGAATGAGGGCATGTGGTCTGAGGTAACACAGAAAGTCTGGGAGAACAGGGCTGAATATACTAAGCAGAACTGTTTGGAAATGGTGAGTGCACATTAGCTCCTGTCATTTAATATGGATACAGTTCAAAACAATATCAGTGAAGTGGTTTGTGATGGAAGGCTGTGAAGTTGGAGGTTTGATACCCCCCCATCCATTTCCCCAGAATACACCCTTCTCTGTCTCATTTCTTGCTCAGCACTGAAAGCCCGTTTCTTTGGCCTGAGATCTTGTAAACAGAGCTGCGCTCCACTAAGTCTCCCAAACTTTACCCTGCCCTCCCTCCTTACAGCCACAAACACTCATTTGTTCCACTGGAGGTGGAGACTATGTAGTTGAAAACAGAGCTCTTTAAATAAATTAGATCTGCAAAGGTGTTTAGCTGCATGCCAAGTTCCTGATGAATCATGTTGACAAGATCTTCATATGCTTGAATGAGTTCCCCCAAATACATAAGATTATAAATGTGGTTTTGGAGTGCAGTAGTTTTGATCTGAAGCCTCACCTACAGGTGATATAAGACATTTGTATAACCAGCTTTGCATATTCCATGAAGGAGTTTGTTTTTTAAGAGTCTAAGATTTAGGTGCAAGAAAACGATAATCAGAAAAGAACAAGTCAAGATTTGTTCCAGCTCTCACCACACAAGAAGAAAATAGATGAAAAGTTCCAAAACAGAGAAATACAGTTTTCTGTAACCTACTAGCTTTGATTTAGCATTAAAGCACTGTGCTTCAGCATTAAACAACAATCCTTCTGGATTCCAGATAAAAAGCAACTTGAGTTTAATGCCATTTCCTCCCTTTGAATTTTTAAACAGGCTTTCGAAGAGAAAAAACTGAACCAACTGACCCAAACTGATTTACAGTGTTAGCTAGTAATTCAGATAAGTGACAAACACCTAGTAAGAACCATTTGATTTCAGTCTTTATAGTGTTCAGGGATGCAGCAGTTAATCACACACTAGAAAGAGGCTGAAAGTTTTAATTGCTATTTCCTCCTAACATGCCTATGTTAAATCTGTACACAGTAGAAGGGATTAGTAGGCAAAGGGTAACAACACCACGTGAGATGGAAACTTTTCCTGTCTCCAGGATAAAACATGTGACAAAGTATTGAAACTGAAGCAAAATTCATTGCTCTCAAAAAAGGAAAGACTGGGACAAACTTAGGCAAGAAGTAATCAACAGGGGGTGGGGAAGGAGAGGAACAGACCCACACCCAAAACTGCTCAGGTCTTATGAGCTCAATGGCTTTCAGGCAAAGCAGGTTCTGTAAAGAATCATTCTTACACACTTACATATATTCTGGTACCTATCCCACATTGGGTCAAGTGCACCACATGCAACAGCTGATAGCTGAAAGTGTAGTCTACCTCACAGTTACACGATAATTCACTTGCACACAGCATCAGTAAATGCAGCCCAAACCCTAGAAAAAATAACAGTCTCCCACAGTAAATGTAATAAATGCCATAACTACAAAAAAACCAAAACATGAGATCTCTCCACAGCTTAGAATAGTCTCTTCTGTGTTACTTTTTGCAGATGCAGCATTAGGACTATGGTGTATAAAAGCAACCACAGTGTCTACGTCTGCTCACAGCTCTCAACTTTCATCTCAGCAAACCGTCAGAAATGGGAAAGATAAGTGGAAACCCCAGTATGTCAGTGCCCTGCTCTGACACAGACACTGGGATAGACTATAAGTCTTTGCAAATATTTATATTGCAGATCATTTTCTTTATGAAGACAAGAGCTTCTGGGGCCGCTGCTGTGAATGTAGCAGTGACCACCGACCTGCAGCCCTCTGTGAAAAAAAGCAATTCCATCCAGGTGAAAAAAGGCAGCTAGATTATTTACAAGAGCCCCAGTAACTCAGGACATCACTACTTTTTGAAAAGGGAGGCAATCCTGACTTCCAGAAGTGGTTCTGCAATCCCATTGGGTCTTGCCATGTAATTCTACATTACATCTATTGGCAGAGAATCACAGTTTAAGAAAGTGGGTATAGTTTATCCTTTAGGAATACAGTTACAGTCTCTTCAAGCAACTCAAGAGTCAGGAAAAGTTCAGTAACGCAATGCAAAGTTTCACTGGAGATGGAGGAAATAATCTGTTTAAGATCAATGCTATTTCCAGGGCCTTTTATAACTTGAATATGCAAAAAAAGGTTGTGTCTCTATTCCTAGGTAGAGAATATCTTCACATCACCTAGGGAAGGGCCAGCAGGACCGGCTGACATAAACTTCTGCTGTGGGCTGGTGTATGCAACCTGCTTATGTCCATACTATGTTATGATTCAGTGACACCAGAACATGTTAAATCAGTTTGCTGATATTTGTCCCAGGCTACATCCATCTCCTTGAGATCTCCTCCTTCAATGTCTTAGGTGGCTCCTGGGTGTTTTATGAAATGCATAACTTCAGGGCAGATGGTATTTACCGAAACCTAGGGAATACAGAGGTACCCTTGATTGCAGTGCAGTAAATGCCCAAAACTGTCTCTTTGCAGAGGCTGGCTGACTTGCACTGAGTTATTGCTCACATACTAAGTAAACAGTGAATGCATTCCAAAATCCTGGTTCAAACAAATCTTTCTTCAGTACTACAAACAAATTCAAGTTTTAAAGTCCCAAGGGAAATACTATTTCTTTCACATTTTAAGGGGAGAGGGGGAATACTTTAAAAAATATTCACAGTTAGCCAGCTGTTCCATGGTACATGATAAGTTAAATAACTGTTAAAGGTCTAACTGTATATTGCTAACCCTGGGGAAGGTGTTGGGAAAGGTCTGATTCTTTCATCTAAGTTTTCTCTAGTTTTACAAATTTTGATCTAGCAATAGATTCCAGCTCTATACTTACCAGAGATAACAATATGGAATTGGACCTTTAACAGTTATTTAAATTATCATGTACTGAGGAACAGAAAATAAATTCCATTAATAGTTATATCCAGTAAATTACTGATTGAGGAAGAAAAGGGCAGAAGTGTGCAGAGGAACTCAGAACAAGGTGAACACTGTATTTGACATCAAATTCTTCATGCAAACAAGTGGCTCCACCAATGCTACTACCAGTCTAGCAAAGCTTTC